CCTCCAGTACCAGTCAGATCTGATTTGATGGTACACGCACACAAAAATAAAATTTAAAAAATATTAAAAAAATAAAAATAAAAAATTTAACAAAAAAAACCCTGTTAGACGCACACTGATGTTTACTTCTGCACTGTTCACAATAGCAAAGAGCTGGAAGCAACCTAAAAATGCCCAGCAACAAATGGACAGAAAAGCTATGGTACATTCACACAATGGAGTATTATGCAGCACTGAAAACAATAAACTCATAAAGCATTACACAGCATGGGGGAGCCTGGAGGACATGATGCTAAGTGAAATGTCTCAGTCACAGAAGGACAAACACTGCAGAACACCACTGTTATAAAATAGGACAGACGGGTAGAATGGGCAGAGAATAGGAAAAAAGTGGATAGATAATGAACACTGCACTTAAAACAGATGAGGGGAAGAATTGTAAATAAAAAACATATATGATTAGACATTATACATATGACAACAATCTAAAATAAGTGGTGCATTGCTGGGTGGGCTGGGAGAAAAAAAAAGGAAAGAAATCAAACACCTGCTAGAGTTTAAATAGAGGGAAAAAGCGCATTTAGATGACAGAGCAGTTAAAAATGCTTTTCAAGTCTTTCTATTTATTGTCTATAACCAAATATTAGCAGTATTGGTAAATGTCCTCATATTAACATTTTAAAATGAATAAAGGTTTTATTTCATTATTACCTGTAGGGCATGGCTTTGTAAAATACGTTTAGTGGCTGGGGACCTGCTGTGTATTTGCTGATAATCAGAGGCAATATTATCTGCAAAGGAACCATTGGAACTGCCAATAAGGCTAAATGTTCTTTGGGTACTCCTTCTTCTACCAATTTCAGGCCTGTTACTGCATCAGCTGCTGAAAAACCAATCTATAATATAAAAACAAAACAATTATGAGACTTAAAATATTTTCCTTTGAGCATACACAAACTCTTCCAGGACTTCAAATTCACTACTGACTGTTACGGATTGGATCATGCACTCAAAATTATGCATTATTCTAACTTGTATTCCCCTGGATATAATTCCATTTGAGAATAGCCTGTTTTTATTATGCTTAGTATATGACATATCTTGGATTAATCATTTTTGAGCTATACAAAAAGATTTAAAAACAGGGCAGAGATTAAATAATCAAGCCAGTGAGCTGATATGGATATAAGATGCCAAAACACACAGGGAAGAGGGAAGCAGAAAAGGATTCCTCCAGAGAGAAAGCTTTCCTACAATCTTCCCCAGATATTTATGTCTCAGAGTATCACTCAGTAAATTAATTTTTAATTATAAAAGGAAAATAGAGCAACTTTAACATAGATTAACCAAACAGGAAAAAATTAACAGATAGTAAAAAATAACAGATAAATTCTATGATTTGGTTTTATGACTGGTTTAATAAGAGAAAGTACAAATTCTCAGAAAAACTCTTAGGAAAGCATTAATTCTCAGAAAGGGGCCTGATTGCTGTTGCTGTTGTTAGGTGCCACTGAGTCAACTACAACTCACAGTGAACCTAAGAACGGCTTTGATAGGTTCGAGCCCCACTGTCACAGTCACTGTGTTAATCCATCCTGCTTGGGGAGGGGAGGTGGTTAGGTACAAATCAATCTCAAACATAGCATAAGAAACACAAGGAAATAAATCTAAAGAATGTAGAGATAGATAGTAACAATTACAGCATCTTGATAAAGAATACATGGGAGATCTTTCTATATTTCTGTAACTTTTTAGTAAGTCTCAAAAACAGAAATCACTTTTTAAGAAAATGAATGATAGATATACAATACACTTTAACTTCTTGGGTGGAGCCAAACACCAGAAGTTTGAACCCACCATCCACTCTGAGGTAGAAAGACCTGCTTCCATAAAAGCTTAAACTCACTATTATCAACTCTGCATTGATGTTTCCTAGGCTGTCGAGTGTAACGGCAGCAGACTGCTCATCTTTCTCCCTGATGGGCTCAAACCAAGCCAGACACATTCAGTCTTTTGATCTACAACGCAATCTGCCATGGACAAGGGACTGGAAGCCTTGTGGTAAGAGTTGTCCTGCCAAGCCAAAGGCATACAGTTTAAAGCCACCGGCTGCTTCATGGCAGAAAGATGGGCAAACTCCTCCCGTGTGATTTACTGTCTCTGAAAACCTGCTGGAGGGTCAGCTATGGGTCGGTTCCTACCTGACAGAAACAACAACAAATGTCCCCAGAGGTCCCTCCACAAGGAGGCTCCTCCACTGAAGCCTTGCTGATCCTGTGAGCAGTCTGCTCTGTCTTGCAGGGTTGTTATGAGTCAGAATCAATGCTGGCAAGGAGTTTCTATTTGTAGTATTAATATAATGAAATAAGTATCATTTCATACTTATTAAATGGATTCCACAATGACATCATTGTTTTCATAATCCCAAAATACTTAAGTTTACTTTGAAATTATAGTTAGTATCATCAAGTCTTCTAAATATATTTAATAAATAGAAAACAACTGGTCCAAAGGAATTGGCAATTGCATTGGGAAAGTTGGCTGTCAGGGACATTTCCAGAGTACTGAAGAGCAATGATGTCAGTCTGGAGACTAAGGTGCCTGATGCAGGCCATGGTCTTCACAATTACATGTTATGCATCAGCAGACTGGACAATGACTATGCATGAGAGAAGGAGAATTGATGCCTTTGAGCTGTGGTGCTGGAAAAGGGTATAGATTATACCACAGACTGTCAGGAAAACAAACAGGTTCATCCCGAAGAGGGTGAAACCAGGCTGCTGGTTGCGGGCAAGGATTCTGAAGTTCTGTCTGATATACTCTGGGCATGAAACAAGGAGGGACCAGTCCTTGAAAAGGGACATCATGCTTGGGAAGGTGGAGGGACAGTGCAAGAGAGGAAGACCCTGGATGAGATGGATTGACTCAGTAACTAAGGTAATAAGGGTAGGTGTGTCAGAAACAAAAAGGTTGGCTCAAGATAGAGCCGGGTTTGGAGCTGTTATACACAGGGTCGTTATGAATTGCAGGAGACTTGATGGCACATAATAATAACAACTACCCAAAGACCAAAAGAACTGGAGGTTGAGCGCCTTAGGCAAAGAGGGAGAGGAAATATGGAACTCAACTCAAAATCAGAAAACTGGCCTGGCTTGCAGCCTTGCTGGCAGGGAATGGGAGAATCTCTAAGACCTAAGGGTTGCCTCAAGTAACCATTGGAAACCAGAATTAAACTCTGCCTATGACTCTATTTTCAGACAAATCACAGACAGGCCTCTAAGGGAAACTAGAACACTGGAAATTATTTATTCCTTAGAATAATCAATCACATAAAATCAAAAGGACAGTGTTTATTCAGAGGTAAATCTATGAAGGTAGGAAGGGATGGTCAGAAAGAGGAATAAAAACAAGGATCCCAGCAAGAAGCTGGAAGAGCGCTGTCACAACAGAAGAGCATCACAATCATCACACCTTCTAAATACATTCAATCAACAGAAAACAACTGGTCCAAAGGACTTGACTGATCACGTAAACGTCAACCTCTACTACCCAGAGACCACAAGAACTGAAGGTACGGCAATCACTGATAAACCAATCCAGAAGGATCAGAGGAGAGGGTCTTAGGCAAAGGTGGCGGGGGAAGGTGGGGGGGAATGTGGAACAAAACTCAAAAATCATTCATGTCCTGAAACAAAGTGTGTAGGAATGATTGCATTTCTGTAATTTTTCACTCAAAGCATAAGGTGAAAAACAGGAAACAGAAAACAATACCTTTTTCATTGTTAAATTATAATGGGGGTGGAGGGAGCTCTGGTGACCTAGTGGTAAGGAGCTGCTCTGTCAACTTGAAGGCATGCAGTTCAAATCCACTTGCTGCTCTGTGGGAGAAAGATGGGCAAGACGATCTCTTCCCATGGGATTTACTGTCCCTGAAAACCTGTTTGGGGGTCACTGTGGGTCAGCTCCAACTCAGAGGTACATAGAAACAACGGTGGTGGAAAGGGACTTCCATGAAAGGACAATGAAAATATTCCAAGTTACTGGGAATTCTAACCAAATGATCTATTTGTTTTATAAATCTCTTACCTTTGCAGTGAGAATCAAAAGACAAAATGTTAGAACTGCTGGCATCTTTATAATTGCAAAAAGCAACTTGTACGTTTCCATAATCCCTTGTGTTTCTTCCTTTACTTGTGATAGTTCTTTGTTTTCTTTTTTCAGAAAGGCAACTAAAGTTGTTGTTACTAAAAATACAGTGCCCCAGAAAAAGAGGAAATCTGGAATGAAAAGAGATTGTAAAATTTAATTAACTTCCGTAATGACATAGCTCATTGACACTATATATTTTTATATTTATCTTCAACTAAAGTCCTTGAAAAAAAGAGATGCTTTACATTGATCCAAAATAATTTTATTTAGAAGAAAAAGAAGGTCCCATAGATATTTAGTATAAAACCTGGATAAATGAAATAAAAATCCATCATAACACTATATTTGAGGAAAGTGTTGAAGTGGTAGATGATTTTCATACAAAATGCATTAGCCTTATCTCACAAGTGCCTAAGTCATTCTAGTTCTTTATTAAAAATCATGACAACTTGAACAACCAATGAACATTAGGTTTTTTCCAGCTTTTTTTTTTAAACGTCCTAATGTTTTCCAGGAGTCCTTCAGTGGTGCAAACAGTTAATACACTTGCTGCTCAAGGTTCCGGACCAGTTTGAATCCGTTTAGTCATGGTCAGTGATTCTGAAGCAACATTAGAATAGACCCACATTTTGAAACTTTGGGTGAATCAGAATGCAGACAATTACAGAGCAAATTACCACTCTCTCTCGTCTGCCCGTCTCTTCCACATGGCTTGTCCCACAGACAAGGTGTGTTCACATCCTATGCAGATGCCTGCCTGTGAGTAAGTGGGAACCTGCCTCTGCAGCCTCTTAAACTTGACAGTTCAAGTCCACCAGCTGCTCTGTGGCAGAAAGACCAGCCCTCTCCTCCCATGGAACTTGCCGCCTCGGAAAACCTCTTGTTGTGTCAGCTATGGGTCGGTTCCACCTCACCAGGACGTAACAAGTGCTAAGGAGGTGCACTGCTAACACAGATCTGTGCAATTTACCCACTGCTCTGCGAGGCAGACCGCGAATCTCCTGTGTGATTTTTTTTTAAGATTTTAATGACAGTTTATAGAGAACTTGGATTTCCATTCATTCATTGTTGCACATTTTCCTCCCCGCCCCCCACAGTTCACTTTTCTCTTAAAAAACAACAACGAGGGCTGGTTGGGGAGAGAAGTGCAGCAATAAATGAATGGAAATCCAAAATCTCTGTAAATGTTCATTAAAATTATTAAATAAAAATAAAATGTAGGCGAGCTCTGGTGGCCTA